GCCTGTGGGGCGGCGGTCTGGCTCGGGGGCTTCCTCAAACGTGGGTGCTCTGCGGGAGAAAGATTTCCTTGTGCAAGGACTAGGGCTTAAGCAAGAAGGGTTTGGGGGCACAAAGGTGTTTGTGTGTGCAGGGGGAGCCGGCGAGCCCAGGCTTCTCTCCAACACCTGGCTTTCTCGCTACGCCGGGTAGCAGCTACGTGGAGGGAGTTGGTTTTTAATGCAGAGTTTTCATTTTCCTCCAGATGATCATTCCAGGGTTCACCTGACTCCTGTCGAAGGGGTTCCTGACTCTGACTACATCAACGCCTCCTTCATTAATGTGAGTTTTGTTAATCGCAAGGGGAAAACCCCACCAGCTACTCCCCGGCCAGCGGTGCCTGGTCCCACCAGGAGCGTGGGGCTTTTATGGGGTGTGACTTGTGCCTGGGAGAGGACGGTTAAGCGGCTGCCTCCTGCATTAACATCTCCCCAGCGCAATGAATTACGCTGGTTTTGGATCTCGTAACCTTTGTGTGGCCACAGTAGAGCTCGCTGTGCTCTGCTCCGTGTCGTGAGCCCAGACAAAAGTGGTCGGAATAAGAGGCTGAGAGCTGGGACTCACAAATTCCAGCCATATCCCTGCCCTTGCTTAGCTGTTTTGCCATAGTCACCTCTCTTCCCACTCTTTTCCGTGCTTACAGTCCTTAGGGTGCTGCAAAGCTGAGCTGGCTGGTTTGGAAGGGCTTTGGGAGACATTCCTGCAGGAACTGGGGATTTCTGATTAATGGCTGATGAGCGGGGCTGGCTGCTTAATCATCGGTATTTCCCAGCTTGCAGGGCCAGGATGAAAAAGAAATCAAGGAACCCAGCTAAAATAGCAGCAACGTTGCCCTGCTCTGCTCTTAGGAGGAGATGGGTCCTCTATGCTTGTCACCATATAGCTCAAATAAATTGGAAGGGTGAATCGAAGAAGCAGACTTTGGGAGAGGTGGAGGCACGTGAAGAAAAGCAAAGCCCAAAAGAGCTTTTTATTTTCTTCACCAGTAAATAAACATCCATTCAGAAATACACAACATCGATCCCCCTGAGTTCAACAGCCCCATCTCCCCACGATGAATGCTGGTTTTCCCACGGTGCTCGGGAGGCAGGGTCTGATCCCAGCAGAAGGGTTGTCGGGTACCACTTCTCTAGTGCTCTGTGCCAGCAAGTGGGGTCGTTCCCGCGTTGCGTGAGCATGGGGAGTGTTGCTCTGGGGCAAGGACCCTTTGCACAGGGGTTTTCCATGATTTCTGCCCCGCTGTCGACTCTGTTTCTCCCCTCAGGCTGCAGCCCCTTCTCTGCACAGAGGGGAGTGGGCAACAGAGGAGGTGATGGCTCTGCTTGTTAATGATGTAGATGCCTTTCATGACCTCTGTTTTAGTAAAATACTCATCTTCCCTTTGTCTTCTTTTTTCTCCTTTTCTCTCTAGGGGTACCAAGAGAAAAACAAGTTCATTGCTGCACAAGGTAAACGCCCAGTTGTTCCTGTAGCTCTGTCTGGTACCAGTTGGGCTGGGGTCCTTCTGCTCTGCGAAGCTGTGCCAGTCTAACCACAGCACAGCACCTGGCGGAGCTCTCCTGGTCAACAGGAGGCTTGACTGGTCGGGGGGTTGTTCTGAAAATGGTTTTCCTGGTCAAAGAGAGGTGCTGGATGCCTTGGGGGAGGAAGAGAAGCCCTACATGTGCAGTATTGATTGCTGGAGGGTGTCAAAGCCTTTCTTCCCTGAGCCTTGTCCTTCCACCCTGGCCCACGGCTGCAGGTGCTCGTGGTCTCTGGAAATACTGCCAGTGAGCTGCTTAATTAAATCCCCCAAATCAGCGGAGAGCACCACGCTGATCTGGTTTCGTTTCTCCTCCTTTTTAAACCTGGGCAGAGGTGGCCTTGTGCCCTTGAAGAGAAATTTCTCTGTGGTCTTCAGAGGGGAGGCAGGACTGTCAGGCGTTGAGAGCAACGCGCATCACGAGCCTTCCCAAGCTCAGCTTCCCCCAGACAGTCCATCGCCGGCTCGCACGCACCATCCGTGGCCCTCCGGCTCCCTTGCTTTCCTTCTGTCCATCCAAACACATCCCTAAAACCAAGATGCCCGCTCGCAGGGAGGGGGTTATCTGACCGTGGGAGGGGGCTTGCATTTCCACTCTTGACCTGCGAGTGGGTTAGGACGTCACCTGCCTGGCTCCTGCCGGAGAAGGAAGGCGGGATCGGGTCTGTCAGAGGAACTAGGCTGGGGTAAAGCTCTGGCTCTGCTGGTCTCTTGGCTCACCCGTAGCCTCAGGCTTGGCCGGGGAGGCCGAGGTTGGGTCTGCTCCTTGTCTGGCGGGCAGCAGGTGACTGTTGTTGTGCTGTGGTGAAATGGGATCCCGTGGTTGAAACACAAGGCTTGGGGACAGGACTTCTGCAAGCTACCTGCAGTGGCCCCAATTCCCCTGGGTGACCTTGGGCAAGCCGTTTCCATGCTCCTTTTGTCCGATTTCCCCTTCTTGGGCTAAAAATGGAATTCCTCGTCATAAAATATATCCAAAAAGCCCCATTCTTGTGTGATAGGGTTGGGTTAGCCGGCATTTCCAGGCACCAAAACACCGTGTGTGCTGACATCTGTTGGCAAAAAGTGTGTGGCATCATCCACGACGTGTGACTGCACGCGCTGGGTTTCAGTCGCAGCGGTGGAGGAGTTGATCCCAAAGACCACGTTTCTTTTTACCTTCCCCTTAGGACCAAAGGAAGAAACCGTGAACGATTTTTGGAGGATGATTTGGGAGCAAAACACAGCGACGATTGTCATGGTGACCAACCTGAAAGAGAGGAAGGAGGTAGGTGCCAGAAAGCTTCATGGGCTGGTATCTAACCCACCTTCATCCGAACCTGGCGCGTCTCATGCCCACGGGCATGGCTTGGCAGCCACTCCCAGAGCTCACCTGCACCCCTTTTGTCTCCCCACAGTGTAAGTGTGCTCAGTACTGGCCGGATCAGGGCTGCTGGACGTACGGCAACATCCGAGTGTCCGTGGAGGACGTGACCGTCCTGGTGGATTACACCGTGCGGAAGTTCTGCATCCAGCAGGTGCCGGGGCTCACGTCTCCCATCCTGTCCCATCCCATCCCGTCCCATCCCATCCCTCCCCTCTCCGTGCTGGGCGTCCAACAGGCGCTGGCAAGCTCCTCGACTCCTCTGGGGTGCTGTGAGAGCAGAGTTGGGATGAAATGACCCCAGCATCCATTTTTAACCGGCGCTATTAAGAATTTACTCGCCTTAAACACCTGGGAGCCCGTTCCCAGTGGGTACCGTGCATGGTGCAGGGAAGCTGATGGATGCCAAGGCTGAAATTCAACCCTGTAATACTCCAGCACTTGCTGTTACCAGTATCAGTTCCTGCTGTCACCCACAGATCCTTAATGCCTGCAAATAATCCCGTTTATCCCATGAGCTGAGACAAAATCCAGCGCTGGTTGGTTTTGATTGCTTTCCCATCTGCTGCTGCGTTGCCTTGTCCTCCGAGGAGGCTCTGGATGCTTTAGTCTCTCTGTTTGGCTGCTGCTCTCGGAGGCAGGCGAGGAAGAGCTGGTGATTCAAACCTGTCTGGACCCTGAGTGGGGTTCTCCTGAGCCTCACCCTTCACTCCAACAGCCTGGACGTGGGTGGTTTCCTCCCCTGCCTTTAATACAAGGATGCTGTGGGCAGATGTGGGAAAGGATGGAGCAACAGCTTCTGTGTGAGCTGGCTGGGAGTGAAATACGGCAGCTTCTGCCAGGTTGGAGCCACAGCCAAGGCCAGGCTGGCATCTTTCCCCCCCTAGGATACGGGATGTGATGTTGGGCAATTAAAATGTCATGCTTTTAGAGACTAATTTGGCCCCGGAGCCTGGGTCTGTGCCCTTTTGACTTGTGGATTCTAGTGCTTCTGAAGCCATCCAGCTCGGTCACGGGGCTGTAGCTCCCTCCCTGCCTTCGCTTTTGGGGAGAGAAGGGAAATCTGAGTATTTCTCGTGAATCTGAATGCGCGTTCCCCCTGCAGGTCGGCGACGTCACGAACAAGAAGCCCCAGCGCCTGGTGACTCAGTTCCACTTCACCAGCTGGCCCGACTTCGGGGTCCCCTTCACCCCCATCGGGATGCTGAAGTTCTTGAAGAAGGTGAAGACGTGTAACCCCCAATACGCAGGAGCGATAGTGGTGCACTGCAGGTACGTCCTGGTCACGCCTGACCTCTGCCTCTCCTGGGTCGCTTGGAAACCCTCTCCTGTTTAATACTAAAGGGATTTTTTTCGGTCAGGCCTTTTGAGTTATTTTTATTTAACTTGCCCGTGTCAAATGGGAATGTTCCACATCGGAAATGTCAAAAAAAATGCCTGTGAATTGAAGGAGCTCCTTGGAATGAGTGAGGTGATGGTGTTACAACGTGTGTGGTTTCACTGAGGGAAGGCCCCACCGCTAAAGGCGGAGATGACGATCGCGTTTGCGACCTCGCCAGTCCGTCTTTCCAGCTCTCTTCTCAGGAGGCAGCTGATGGAGGAGCTTTCTCTTTCCATAGCGTCTGCTCCCCTCATCTTTCTTCTCCTCCTTAATGGTTGAGCTACCAGCACAGAAACGAGGCTCCCCCCTTGGGCTCCCCTTCACGTGAAGGAGGGTGACGGCAAGGAGCAGCAGGCAGCTCGTAGGAACGGGCAGCCCCTGAGGACTCTGGAAGGCTGAGGTGTCACTTTGCCTCCCCCTCCTCGGTGCCTTCACGCGCTCCAGTCGCGGCGGTTGCTGGAGATGCCGCGTCCACCCCTCTGCAAAACCCAGGTGTCCCTGAACACCAGGCTGAGGACCTGCTCCTCTCCAAACCAGATTTTACTATTTCCTCACTGCTAGGAAGCGTCTGGCTCGCTCCTGGCTGCTCTACGAGGGACTCCAGCGCCGCTGCACTGACCTCTTGTCCCCTCTGCTCTTTCAGCGCCGGGGTGGGGCGCACGGGCACTTTCATCGTCATCGATGCCATGCTGGACATGATGCACGCCGAGAGGAAGGTGGACGTTTACGGCTTCGTGAGCCGGATCCGGGCTCAGCGCTGCCAGATGGTACAGACAGATGTGAGTGTGCTGCTGCGGCTCCTGCTGGGCTGCAGTTACCGTTGCCTTTGGGCAGCAAAGCCTGCGTGAGGGTTGAGCATCGTCCCTCTTAATTTGGAAGGGTGCTGCATCAAGCGAGCCTCTCGCCGGGTCCTTCTCTTTTTAATCCCCTTCGTAGGATCGTACATTCATTTCGGTTGGAAAAGACCTTTAAGATCATCGAGTCCAACCGTTAACCCAGCGCCGCCAAGCCCACCACTGAACCGTGTCCCCAAGCACCACATCTGCACGTCTTTTAGATACCTCCAGGGATGGTGACTCCACCACTCCCCTGGGCAGCCTGTTCAATGCTTGACCACTCAGAAATTTTCCCTAATGCCCAATCTAAACCTCCCCTGGTGCAGCTTGAGGCCATTTGCTCTCGTCCCCTCACTTGTCACTGGGGAGAAGAGACCGACCCCCACCTCACCACAGCCTCCTGTCAGGCAGTTGCAGAGAGCGATGAGGTCTCCCCTCAGCCTCCTCTTCTCCAGACTTGGAGAAAGTTTTGTGTCGGGTCAGCTTTGTGTGGGGTAGCAAATCAGGTCCCACTCCCCATCCAGCAGCAGAAAGGTTGTGACCCACGTTTCTGTGCTCTCGGAGGGCTGCCACCTGCCCAGCGAGCACGGGTGCGGTGGGTTTGCAACCAGGGATGCGCTCGCTGAGCACGGAATGGAGGCTGATGGCTTCTCCCTGCAACCCTTGCAGATGCAGTATGTGTTTATATACCAAGCCCTACTGGAGCATTATCTCTACGGTGACACAGAGCTGGAGGTGACCTCGTTAGAGATCCACCTTCAGAAGATCTACAACAAAGTGCCAGGGACCAGCAGCAACGGGCTGGAAGAGGAGTTCAAGGTGAGCGTGGTTCTTGTCCTGGTGGATCCGCTTGGATGGTGCTGGGCTATGGGGACCACTGTGTGCTTGCCTGGTGCTGGGTGGCTCTGAAAGCTGTCCCTGCTTTCACTCCTTCCTCTGCAGAAGCTCACTTCAATCAAAATTCAGAACGACAAAATGAGAACGGGCAACTTGCCGGCAAACATGAAGAAGAACAGAGTGCTTCAGATAATTCCATGTAAGACTTGTTTGCCTGGGGGTGTGGGTGGTGGGGGTGGGCACCGTTTGGGTGGTTGTGGGGTCAGGAGTCAGGCTGGAGAAATGGGCCAACAGGAGCCTC